AAGTGATATGATGACCAAGCCTCTGGACTTTTGGAAGACCGTATTGTTCTCAGACGAATCAAGCTTCGTTCAATTTTTGGACAGTGGAAGGATATGGGTCTGGAGAATGCCTCACCAAGAGTTTTGGCTCAACAGATTTCAGCCAACTGTGAAGCATGGTGGTTTCAGTGTGATGGTTTGGGGAGCTGTTTGGGTTGGTGGGAGATCGAGCTTAGTGGAGTGCGTTGGCAACATAAATTTTGCGAAATACGTCAAGATGTTGGAGGAAGGACTCTTGCCATTTTATTCCTCGGGTTTCGTGGACAAGAACACAACGTTGTTCTAGGAAAATGGAGCACCGTGTTACACTGCTAGAAACACCCAAAAGTGGCATGAAGAAAATGGTATCCAGAAGCTGCCCTGGCCGAGCCAATCTCCTGACATGAACCCCATCGAAAACTTTTGGGCCATACTCGACCGGCAAGTCAAGAAACAAGAAAAAAAAACAACTTCGAAGAGCGATAAACTCCAAGTTTTGAAGGAAGAGTGGGCGAAAATCCCACAATCTAAAATTGACGAGATGATTCTCACGATGCTCCAAAGGATCAACGAACTCCACGAAGCGAAAGGAAGATCTACTAGATATTAATTAAGTTATAAATATATCAATTCATGTGAATATGACTGAAAATTTTTATTTTTTCTGAAAAGGTGGTGTCTATTTACTTGTGACCACGCTGTGTATATATATTTCACAATTATCTGTATTACATGAAAGGCTTAGAGAGCATTACTCAACTATTCGACGGGATATATATATGTAAAAATACAACATTTTTATTACAGATGTCCTCGCCAACAAATACATGATCGTGTCAAAAAAACTGTAACAAAACAATGCAAAATTATACTGTTTACACGAAAATATAAATTATATCATTTTAAAATCAAAAATATCTGTAGCGAAAAAAAATGTATTGGCGATATTATTTTTGACAGACATAATCAAAACAACAGATGTAAAACTAGAAAGCTAACTACAGGTTCAATAAGACGTTAGGACATGGGTGCCAGAATGCACAATGTCCAATATTCCACAACCAGCCACACTGTCTACTTCCGGTCGTGGACACGATAGTTACCTCTAAAGACATAAAGATTTAAAACCACTTGATGCTATGATTCTAGTGATATAATAATACATGATGCTATAATTGCTGTGATATAATAACACATGATTCTATAAATCTTGTGATATAATACTACATGATGTTATAATTCTAGTGATATAATACTACATGATGTTATAATTCTGGTGATATAATAATATACGATGTTATAATTCTAGTGATATAATAATACAGAATGTTATAATTCTGGTGATATAATACTATATGATGTTATCATTCTGGTGATATAATAATATACGATGTTATAATTCTAGTGCTATAATAATATATGATGTTATATTTCTGGTGATATAATAATATACGATGTTATAATTCTAGTGATGAAATAATATACGATGTTATAATTCTAGTGATATAATAATATATGATGTTATAAATCATACCTTTACAGTTCTGGTGCCCCTACCTCCTCCCTTAACAAGAACCTGGCTTAGTTTATCGAGGTTTGTATGAAAGATGAACTTTATAGTTTTAACAACATATATTTATATATAGTAGCTGGAATACCAGTTCCCTGGCCGGAAGCTATGTACGTTCATGATTAATGAATTTATCTAAGGACATGAAAAGTTGATTCCATTATATGTAATTGTAAAAAAATGACGATTTTCTCAAAAAAACAACAAAATGCAGAGTTGAAAATTTGTATACTCCCACATGGATCTTATAAACCTTGTGTACCCCACATGGATCTTATAAATCTAATATACCCCCGCATGGATCTTATAAACCTTATGTACCCCCCCACATGGATCATATAAATCTTATATACCCCCGCATGGATCTTATAAACCTCCACACCAATTTTGGTAAAGATCCTTCCACACCCTGCGAAGTAGTTACATGGACAGAAACAGACAGTACTATTAAATTTATATAGATTATGAATACACACATACACACACAGACATATATAAATATACATTCACAAACACAGACATGTTCATGTATGTTCCGTTATTTTTAACCAAACAATAACTACTTTGAATCAAACTAAACTTTACAGAAGGTTTTTTTTTTTTGTTTTTCTTACGTTACATGAAATTTAATGTTTCATGAAAACCTCCACACTCGGTTTCAGTATTGGTCTGTTGTCATGATATAAGTATTTTCATTTACTTGCACAAAAAAATATATTCTCGTTTTTAATAATCGAATCACACACACCCGGATTTAGAAATAGTTTGATATTTTTCAACCTGAATGACTAAAGGAAGAACAACCAGCCAACAGCACCTGTCGCCTCCACGGCAACGTTTATCTGAATAGCAAAACTAACTGTCACAATTAGAACGCCACCTCCACAGCTGGAACTGCGTAACGTGTTATAGCGACATATGACACGAACCTTGGAGTGTTCGATCCGCAACCCGACGCGCTAACCATGCCTAGCTACGACGGTTCTGTGGATCTGGCAGATGCCGAGTAACGTGTTAACTTTAAGTGTCAGTGTTCTTAAAGTAACGTTTCCTTGTTAAATAACGTTGGTTTCTATCAAAGATTCCTTTCTCAGTAGTTTATCTTAATTACAGCCATTATAACTCGTTTACATATACCAAAAACCTATGTTTCTTAGTCCCAAAAAAAGGTGGCGCCAGAGTTCCCCTATAAAAATAGCTAGTGTTTTTTTACCAGGAGTGGTTCATCTTTTTCAAACCTTTTATAAAGCTGTGTTTACAGGACTAAAGCATATCCACTTCAGTTATGATATCTTTATTGTAAAATAAAAATATTCATAATATTAATGATATTTGTAAGAAAAAACGATAGATGGCACTATTTTTGCTCTGTGGAAAGAAGTCCAAAGTGTAGTTGTTTTGTTGAGCGCAAAGCTTCACAATGGGCTCTCTGTGTTCTTCCCACCATGAGTATCGAAACTCGATTCTTAGCGTCGTAGGTCTAATGACTTAACGCTGAGCCTCTAGGGGCACCCATAGTGAAACAAAAACTGATGCACCTGTAAGTTAAATTAACCCCCCCCTCCCCTGGATTGTGGATTTATAGTAAGTCTAAGGCTTATAACACTAAAAATCAGAATTCGATATTTGTGGTGGGCACAGCACAGACATCCCACGGCTTAACGACAAACAAACAAACAAAGAAGAAACTGCAAGAGAATATTGTCTGGTATTTATTGTTAAACAGTAAAAAGGTTTGTGTTTCAATATTTTATATCCGGTATTGTTTAATTTTTAGTTAAATAAGAGTTATATTAATATTTTTACTTTACATTAATAGTTACAGCCGATTCCACAGAAAGGGTTAAAAAGATAACCTTGAGTAGCCTAAGAAGACCCCACTAACATCAGTAAATCACTCAAGAAAATGTAATACAAACTCGTAAAGTTTGTTTGAAGTTAAGCACAAAGTTACACAATGGGTTATCAGTACTCTACCCAACACGGGTATCGAAATCCGGTTTCTAGCGTTGTAAGTCCAGAGACATACCGCTGTGCCAGTGGGGGCAACTCGTAAAGTCTGGAGAAAATTATAAAACTGAAGTTGTACAAGTACCACTTGAGGAATAAAAATATAAACATGGCTTCAGGAACGGTTCGAATATTATCGATCTATTATTAGTGGCAGTACTAGTTTTCTTTAATATAGTGCGTCGTTCTACTGGGCGAGAAATGTTGCACGTTATTCTGCGATGTCGTTCGATAATTCACTTTATGAAAACCTTGAAGAGGGAAAGAGAAATATCAAATTTAATGCGTTTAGGTAAATATGTTAAGAACAAGAAGCTTTTCCTCTGACTCACTTTCTAATGTGCTGGGCCGCGAGTGAAAAGGTCCAAGGCTCGAGCCGTACTTATCCTCTAAATACGCACTTTCAGCTAAGGGTGTATCATAAAGACGACAATAAATCCTATTATGCAGTAGCCATATAGGACTGGTTGTTCTTCTGGTGAGCAGTTCTTAGTTAGGGTTAGCTTAGCGTAAATCATTTGTAACGTATTAGGTATTACGACATCCAACCAAATCACGGCTTTATGTACGTTTAATACACAGACAGACGTTACTTGAAGTGTCACGTACGTTTAACACACAGACAGATGGTTACATGAAGTGTCACGTATGTTTGACACACAGACAGACGTTACCTGAAGTGTCACGTATGTTTAACACACAGAAAAATGTTACTTGAAGTATCACGTATGTTTAACACACAAACAGACGTCAGCTGAAGTGTCACATATGTTTGACCCACAAAAAGACGTTACTTGAAGTATCACGTATGTTTAATACACAAACAGACGTCACCTGAGGTGTCACGTATGTTTAACACACAGACAAATGTTACTTGAAGTGTCACGTATGTTTAACACACAAACAGACGTCACCTGAAGTGTCACGTATGTTTAACACACAGAAAAATGTTACTTGAAGTATCACGTATGTTTAACACACAAACAGACGTCACCTGAAGTGTCCGTCGGGAAGATAGACCTGAAGTAATCCATTTCATGACATGCGTCAGCTGTGACGTCAGTCACCGTGATGTTAATAGTTCCTCCACAAACCTCTCTCGGACCGAATAGGTCGAAGTATGGAGTAAACTGTAAGATGATAAAGCTTACTTTATTTCTATATAAATTTCTAAACAGTTGTAATAAATACGAGTCACATAACAAACTTAAATGAACTAAAAGTTATTTTGTTTAAACCTACCGGACTAACGGCATTTTCTACACTGACCATCCCAGTAGCTTCGAATCCTTTTTCTGATAATTTGTCTCGATTATAGATGTCGTTACCAGACCGAAGGGTTATTATATTACCGGGAGTTAAAGCAGGTTCTTCTCCGAGATAGATAGTCAGGGTGTCTGCTATACTTACACAAGAGGGACCTGTATTTGACAATAATCAATTTAATTTTATTAAAATAAATAACTTCAATTTTATTAAATTCGAGCAACAATCGTAAAATTAAAGCAGCTGTTGTTTTAAACTATGACATTGAGAATGTTATTAATTATCCTACCTTGACCAAGTAGACTTAAACTGAACTGGTCGAATACTTTAAAACAGTTGATTGGACCCTGAGGAGTTAACGCGGTCGTAAAAGAAATATCCACTGCATCCAATGTGTCCTTGAACCGAGCTTCTATAGGAACTGGCACTTCAGATTTGCTCTGTGCAAAGTAAACATACAAAATTGATATGATTGGTTCTAAGTTCATGCAAGTTTCAAAATTTTACTGAAGATTTGACATTTATTAGAAACCTTGTTCTATTTAACAATATCAATCACGAAAATCAGTTTGGGTTGTTGACATAGTTTCTGATGGTAAATCACGATATGTGAAGCTAGAACAGCAGTAGAATAAGTCATAGTTTCTTAGTAACTCACCAGACCAACGCCGGAATCCGTGATACAGATGGGCAGCCCGTCGCTTGGACAACAAGTAGAATTTTGTGGGCAAACGTTTCCGTTTAAGCAAAAGACCGACGTTGACATCATTGTCGTGTTTAATGTAAATATACAGGACGACTCGTTTCTGAAACATTCTGACACGTTAGAACAAGCTTGAAGGCCGGGGCAGAATATTTCTTCATCACCACAGAAAGCAGTGTCTGTACAAGATGGCAGACAAGCCTGTCGATCTTCACAGAACACAAGATCTGATGGACACTGTTCCAAACAGTAGGCCACCCCAGCTAAGCAAGGCGATCCTTTCTTCTCATTTCGACATACCACGCAGGATTCTGTTTCAACACAGAAGTAATATCCGAGGGGACAAGTAATCGTTCCATTCTCAATGATCCAGGGGTAGGGGGGATAGGGTGGACATATCTCGGCACACTTTCCGTCAGGGCCACACTGAGTCTACAGAGAATATAAACAATTTTAGATAGCAATAAAACACGTTAAAAATTAACTAAAATTTAGCAAATAAATAGCTTATGTATCTAATCAGTGCTTAAACAGTTTAGGAATCAAATCAATGCTTAAACAGTTTATGTATATAATCAGTGCTTAAACAGTTTATGTATATAATCGGTGCTTAAACAGTTTATGTATCTAATCGGTGCGTAAACAGTTTATGTATCTAATCGGTGCGTAAACAGTTTATGTATCTAATCGGTGCTTAAAAATTTTATGTATCTAATCAGGACTTAAACATTTTATGAATCTAATCATTACTTAAACATTTTATGTATCTAATAAGTGCTTAAACAGTTTATGTATCTAATAAGTGCATAAACAGTTATGTATCAAATCAGTACTTAAACAGTTTATGTATCTAATCAGTGCTTAAACAGTTTATCTATATAATCAATGCTTAAACAGCTTATGTATCTAATCAGTGGTTAAACAGTTTATGTAGGTAATGAGTACTTAAATAGCTTATGTATCTCATCACTGCTTAAACAGTTTATGTAATTAATCAGTTGTTAAACAGTTTATGTATCTAATCAGTGCTTAAACAGTTTATGCATCTAATCAGCAGTTAAACAGTTTATTTATCTAATCAGTGCCTAAATAATTTGTGCATCTAATCAGTACTTAAACAGTTTGTGCATCTAACTGGCGCTTCAACAATTTATGTATCTAATTAGTGCTTAAACGGTTTATGTATCTAATCAGTATGTAAACAATTTGTGTAGCTAATCAGTGCTTACACAGTTTATGTATCTAATCAGTTCCTAAGCAGATTATGTATGTAATGGTTACTTAAACATTTTATGTACATAATCAGTCCTTATAAAATTGATGTATCTAATCAGTGCTTAAACAGTTTCTGTATCTAATCAGTACTTAAACAGTTTATGCATCTAATCAGTGCTTAAACAGTTTATGTATCTAATCAGTATTTAAACAATTTATGTATCTAATCAGTAATAAAACTGTTTATTTATCTAATCACTGCATAAACAGTTTATGTATCTAATCAGTATTTAAACATTTTATGTATCTAATCACTGCTTAAACAGTTTATGTAATTAATTAGTGCTTAAACAGTTTACGTATCTAATCGGTGCTTAAACAGTTTATGCGTCTAATAAGTGCGTAAACAGTTTCTGTATCTAATCGGTGCTTAAACAGTTTATGTATCTAATCAATGCTTATACAGTTTCTGTATCTAATCAGTACTTAAAGTTTATGTATCTAATCAGTATTTAAACAATATGTGTATTTAATCAGTGCTTAAACAGTTTATATATATATATTCAATACTTAAGCAGTTTAAGTATCTAATCAGTCCTTAAACAATTTATGTATCTATAGAGTACGTAAACAGTTTGTGTATTTAATCAGTATTTAACTGTTTGTATATCTAATCAGTACTTAAACAGTTTATGTATCTAATCAGTGCTAATCAGTATTTAAACAGTTTATGTATCTAATCGGTGCTAATCAGTATTTAAACAGTTTATGTATGTATTCGGTGCTAATCAGTATTTAAACAGTTTATGTATCTAATCAGTGCTAATCAGTATTTAAACAGTTTATGTATCTATTCGGTGCTAATCAGTATTTAAACAGTTTATGTATCTAATCGGTACTAATCAGTATTTAAACAGTTTATGTATCTATTCGGTGCTAATCAGTATTTAAACAGTTTATGTATCTATTCGGTGCTAATCAGTATTTAAACACTTTATATATCTAATCAGTACTTAAACAGTATATGGACGTAATCAGTATCTAAATAATTTGTGTATCTAATCAGTGCTTAAATAGTTTATGTAGCTAATCAGTACTTAAATAGCTTATGAATCTCATCACTGCTCAAACAGTTTATGTAATTAATCAGTGGTTAAACAGTTTGTATATATATAAACAGTAATTAAACAGTTTATGCAACTAATCGGTGATAATTTGAATTTAAACAGTTTACGTATCTAATCAGTGCTTAAACAGTTTATGTGTCTAATGAGTGCTGAACTATTTTTATATCTAAACTGTAATTAAACAGTTTATGTAACTAAACATTGTTTAAACAGTTTAAATAACTAATTGCTGCTAATCAGTATTTAAACAGTTTATGTATCTAATCAGTGCTTAAACAGTTTATGTATCTAATCGGTCATTAAACAGTTTATGTATCTAATCAATGCTTATCTAGTTTCTGTATCTAAACTGTGCATGAACAGTTTATGAATCTAATCAATGCTTAAACAGTTTGTGTATCTAATCAGTACTTAAACAAGTTGTGTATTTAATCAGTATTTAACTGTTTATGTATCTAATCAGTACTTAAACAGTTTGTGTATCTAATCATTACTTAAACAGTTGATGTATCTAATCAGCAGTTAAACAGTTTATTTATCTAATCAGTGCTTAAATAATTTGTGCATCTAATCAGTACTTAAATAGTTTGTGCATCTAATCAGTACTTAAACAATTTATGTATCCAATCGGTGCTTAAATAGTTTATGTATCTAATCAGTACTTAAACGGTTTATGTATCTAATCAGTGCTTAAACAGTTTATGTATCTAATCAGTGTTTAAACAGTTTATGTAACTAATTAGTTATAAAACAGTTTATATATCTAATCAGTACCTATATAGTTTATGTATCTAACCAGTGCTTAAACAGTTTATGTATCTAATCAGTGCTTAAACAGTTTACGTATCTAATCAGTAATAAAACAGTTTATGTATCTAATCAGTGCTTAAACAGTTTACGTATCTAATCAGTAATAAACAGTTTATGTATCTAATCAGTAATAAAACAGTTTATGCATCTAATGAGTACTTAAACAGTTTGTTTATTTAAACAGTATTTAACTGTTTGTGTATCTAATCAGTACTTAAACAGTTTATGTATCTAATCATTACTTAAACATTTTGTGCATCTAATAAGTGCTTAAACACTTTGTGCATCTAATCGGTATTTAAACAGTTTATGTGCGTAATCAATACTTAAACAGTTTATTTATCTAATCAATGCTTAAACAGTTTATGTATCTAATCAGTGCTTAAAACGTTTATCTATCTAATCAGTACTTATACAGATTGTGTATCTAATCTGTGCTTAATCAGTTTATGTATTTTATCAGTACTTAAACAGTTTGTGTATCTAAACAGTACTTAAATAGCTTATGCATCTAATCAGTACTTAAACAGTGTGTGTATCTAATCAGTACTTAAACAGTTTGTGTATTTAATCAGTATCCAAACAGTTTGTGTATCTAATCAGTACTTAAATAGTTTGTGTATTTAATGAGTGTTTAAACAGTTTATATATCTAATCAGTACTTAAATAGTTTATGTATCTAATCAGTTGTTTAAATGAAGCTTTATTACGATTTATAGTAAACCCATGAACGCATAGTTCAGAAGAAATCAAAATTAATAAATTTTTAAACTTTCTTGTGTAACAATATCAAAGTGAATTAGCGTTTTCGTCATAATGACGTAAGTTCCTCTTCATTTCGTATAAAGCGACGAACTTCTTACTTCAAAGAAAAGAAAGAAAAACAAAGCACGAAAGAACTGACTGAATAAGATATTATTGAATATTAGAGAAATTTGGTCACTTTCTGCTATAAAAAGAAATATAAATAAAAAAATTTGGAAAACAATGTTTAATCTAACCACACGACAGATAATACACGTGAACAAACAATTAACTGTTCATTTAGGAAACCACTTTATGTTAGAACGTCTCAATAAAGTAAAACTGTCTGATTCTCGCCAACATCCTATAAATACTCTGTTTCCTGTGAAACGTCTCAATAAAGTATAACTGTCTGATTCTCGCCAGCATCCTATTAATACTCTGTTTTCTGTGAAAAGTCTCAGTAAAGTAAAACTGTCTGATTCTCGCCAACATCCTATAAATACTCTGTTTTCTGTGAAACGTCTCAATAAAGTATAACTGTCTGATTCTCGCCAACATCCTATTAATACTCTGTTTTCTGTGAAAAGTCTCAGTAAAGTAAAACTGTCTGATTCTCGCCAACATCCTATAAATACTCTGTTTTGTGTGAAACGTCTCAATAAGGTAAAACTGACTGATTCCCGACAACATGGTATTAATACTCTGTTTTCTGTGAAACGTTTCAATAAAGTAAAACTGTCTGATTCTCGCCAACATCCTATAAATACTCTGTTTTGTGTGAAACGTCTCAATAAGGTAAAACTGACTGATTCCCGACAACATGGTATTAATACTCTGTTTTCTGTGAAACGTTTCAATAAAGTAAAACTGTCTGATTCTCGCCAGCATCTTATTAATACTCTGTTTTCTGTGAAACTTCTCAATAAATTAAAACTGTCTGATTCCTGCCAACAACCTATAAATACTCTGTTTTCTGTGAAACGTCTCAATAAGGTAAAACTGTCTGATTCTCGCCAACATCCTATAAATACTCTGTTTTCTATGAAACGTGTCAATAAGGTAAAACAACCTGATTCCCGCCAACATCCTATTAATACTCTGTTTTCTATGAAACGTCTCTATGAAGTAAAACTGTCTGATTCTCGACAGCATCCTATTAATACTGTTACAACAGTGGAAGTCACGCGACGCTGGGAACATGCGCGCTGGAGTTTCTAGAAGGATCGTGACTTAGCAGACAACCTCACGAATGTCCAAGCGTTTGGTAGATGCCCTCTTTTTTAGTATATAAGCTGGAGATAGATTGAATTGAGATAACTGAATCAAGCGAGCAGTAGGCACCGTAAGTAAAATGTGTGAGTCGCTGTGAATTATAGCGTGTATAAAAATTGTTAAGTTTAAAGTGACTGTGGAAATTAAGTGTATTACAAAGTTTGTAACGAGAAAGAATAAACTAGTTTTAATTAAGAAAAGACTTGCATCGCTGAAATTTCTCGGAAAGAATTTTTACGGGAAATTATCTAACAAGCAGAT